GCATCCCTCCAAGCCCAGCAAGCCCTCCCCCTCTGACCCACCCCTGGTCTCCCTATGCTTACTGTCCAGATCTCAAATACAGGGCCTCTTGCAAGAGGCCTCCATGGTTGACCTGCCTGCTGCCTCCACTGTCCTGCATGAGCCCCACTGCCTGGGTCCTCACCTCACCATTGGCACCATTGGCTCCACACCCTTCTGACCTTCCAAGCACCAGGATCCACAGGCTTCTTGGAGAGTCCAGAGCTGACAGGTCTCCACAGACAGTAGCTGCCCACAACTATACGAGCCACTTCTAATCCAGGCCTGACCTTACAGTCTGCGCAAACCTCCTCTTGACATCCCCAACTCCTGCCCATTCAGCTCATAGTACAATCAGGCCCTGACACCCTCCTCTGCCAGCCCTTCGCCAGCATTGATTGCCCAAGAACAAGCTCTCTGTCCAGCCACAGTGGTGATTCTGTACATTCAGTCCCACCTTCCTCCCCTGAGACTCTTCCCAGTATTCTCTGATCACTCCAGGGGTCAGATGGGTGCCCTTGTCCCAGCAGTTATTGGACCTACGCACATGACCACAGAGTATCATCCTCCACCAGACCCTAGGATTGCACACAGAGACACAATGGTAGGGACAAGGAGTATGCCAGTTTCATGCCCTGTTTGACCCAGGAAGACCAGAGGGTCTTCTTCTTCAAGACCCCTAAGCACCCAGAATAAGACCCCACAAAGGCTCTCATAAACAGGGCACATGCACATAAGCTGTGTGACTGGGGTCCAGGCACAAGAAAGCTCACTTGTAGGATGCTACCACTTCTGTGATAGGAATGAAAGCCTGTCTCCTGACTGGTCAAGAGATAAAGTTCTCCTCTAAGGACAGATCCACAATATGTAAAGAGCTCTTACCACTCAACAACAAAAGACAAGTATCCTGACTTTAAAAATGGGCAAAAGATAGATGCTTCTCCAAATAATATATACAAATGGCTAAAAGTCCACAAAAAGATGCTCGACATCAGATAAATGCAAATCAAAACCACAATGAGACTACTTTACATTGCTAGAATTTTATTAAGTGTTGGTGAGAATGCGGAGAAACTGGAAACCTTGTACGTTGCCAGTGGAAATGTAATGGTGCAGCTACGTGGAAAAAGAGTTTGGCAGACCCTCAAAAGTTAACATAGGGTTGGAGATATGGCTCAAACCATAGAGTGCCTATATCACAAGCCCAAAGCCCCAGTATTGCCCAAAAAAATAAATAAATAAAGTTAAACACAGATTTATCATAGGACCCAGAAATTCCACTTCTAGGTATTTATTCCCAAAGAATCAAAAATACACATCTATACATATCTACAAGAAAAAAAAAAAACTTATGCACCAGCAAGGTTTACAGCAACAAATGAAATAACCAAACAGTGGAAACAATCCAAAAGTTCATCAACCAATAAATAGATTTTTTAAAAACCCTATGTAGTATAGTCATCCAATTGAGTTATAATTCAATCATGAAAATGAATGAAACACTGATTCATGGTACAAAATGGATGAACCTCAAAAACATGATGCCAAGTGAAAGAAGCCAGACACAAAAGGCTACATAGTATATGATTCCATTTATATGAAATGTCCAGAATAGGAAAATCCATGGAGACAGAAAGATTAGTGGTTGCCAGGGGCTGTAGGGAGGAGGAATGGGGAGTGACTGCTTAGCGGGTATGAGGTTTCTGGGGTGAGGAAAATGTTCTGGAATTAGATAGTGGTAATGGCTATGCAGTCTTGTGAATACACAAAATCCACTGAGCTGGGGGAATTTCACAGGATGTGAGTTATATGCAATAAGAAAAAGAGGGCTTCTGCAGGCCCTGACACATCTCAGCCCCAAACAATCCACAGTGGCACAAAGTACCCAAAGCTTGCCTTTCAGACCTGTTTAAACAGACCTGCAAATGTTTCTTGAGTGATGTGAAATGCATATGGCCATAACAGAAAAATGAAAACAGTCTCGGGGTTTACAACACGCCTTCCTAGTCATTTAAAGAAACCAATTTGGGAGCCCCAGGCCTCCCAAGAGCCTCTCTAGGGCTAGCTCACTGCTGCATGAAATTCCTAAGAAAAGGGCTGCAAGTGCAGTGCCTAGGCCCAGTCACAAGCAGTCCTTTGACCTTTATCCTCCAACCCCCACCAGGGTCTGGGGCCTCCCTTCTAAATGCCAAAAGACAAACAAACCCAGACACTTGTTCCAGACTTCTGCTGCTCCGTCCTTCAGATCCATCCTCTCACCTTTGAACTGCCAGAGAAGGACAGGGTGTGAGGAAGCCAAAGTTTGAAATCAACCCTTACAGTCTCTAGGGTAAGGCCTGGGTCTATAACCCCAACCCACATGTGACCTCCAGCTGGCCCCTTCCTGCTCATATCTGGCCTGTCAGCCAAGCACCAGGAACACAAGCAGTCAGCAGCCAGGGAGAACCAGAAGGAAATGCCACCTGCTGATCAGGCCAGGATGTAGAGCTAGGCCAAGGGAGGAAGAGAGAGGAGCCCCTTCCCCATGGCTGGCTGCCAGCCTGGAGGGGTCCAGTGGCAGGGTGACCAGAGGCCTCTAGAAGGGAAGAGCGGCCTGAGCGGGCAGGGTTGGGTTGCAGCTCAGGGAGGGGGTAGGGAGGGCTCCTGCAGCCACGTGACCCTCCCCGGGGCCTGCCTCTCCTCTCTGGGTTCCTGGGCTGTAACTGGAGCCGCGTTCCTGCCTGGGAGCCTCCGTGCCAGGCAGAGCTTTGGAGAGGGGGAAGGGAGAGGAGAGCCCTAGATTCCAGTTCCTTCTCCCTCTCCAATCAGGCTGTGGAAGGATGCCCTAGCACACCCTACATGAACAGCAGACCCCCCTGCTCAGCTGCCCCAGCTGCCAGCTTGCCTGGCCTTTCGGGGCTTTGGGGCTGACTTCCTTCCTTGGCTGGGCCAGGAGCAGGACTTCTGGACACGGAACAGTCTAAGGCATATCTTGCATGCCCCCCCACCCCAGGAATCAACTCCAGGGGAACCCAAGTCACTTAGCCTTCCCCAAGCTTTCCCACCTCAACCCCTAGTTTTGAGAGGCACCCACTAGTCCATTCTTGGTAGAGCTGGTTGTCTCCAGGGCAGCACACCCTTACAGGGCAGTTACAAAGAGAGTTGTACTAGCAGGCAGCACTTAGCCTTCTTGAGCTGGGCAGGGGACTGACAGGGCCACAGCAGCATTGACAGCATTGAAGCCCTGACTACACACAGAGCCAGCAAGCTAGGACTTATTCCTACCAGTGAACTGAAGGATGCATATTCCCTACACACTCTCTCTCTCTCTCTCTCTCTCTCTCTCTCTCTCTCTCTCACACACACACACACACACACACACACACACACAGACACACACACACACACACACACACACACATACATACACACATCTAAAACAGCAAAGCACAAAGACTTTCCAGAGATACATAGCACAGAGACAGACAATTCACAGAAAGAAATGGTCACAACCCGGCCCCCTCATCTCCCCTAGGATCTGAGTTTGGGGACCACAAGGCCAGTGGCAGATCCCAGGTGGTACAAAGTGACCGCCCAGACAAGCCCAGGGTGTGTCAGAAGCCTGATGAGTAGAGCCTCTTGGCTGGGACGAGTGAGAGGAAGGCACAGCTGGCTGATGCCGGGGCTGTGACTCACCGTGGACCTGTAGCCAGACAGCCATCCTCAGGCCCTCCCTCCTGCCCAGCGGGTGAGGCTCAGAGCTGCACAGATGGCGTGCAGTGGCATGCCAGCCCAGGCCTTAGGGCCTGGCACATAGTGGGAGACAGAAGAAGGCCAAAGTTGGGGTTTCCCAGGAACCCAGAAACCCAGCTGACCCTGGAAGACAATTCAAGAGAAAGGACCAAAGAAGAAAGAAGGAGAAAGAAAAACACAAAGGGAAAGTTTCCCATGAAAATATTTTATTTTCTTTGAGAACAGGATACACCTGCAGGGCTCCTCAGTCCAGTCAGCCTCTCCCTGCCCTGGCGGGTGCCAGATTCCTAGACCAACGGGGCCCTCTGCCGGCCAGGCCGCTGCGCTCTGGGCGCCCGGGCCAGGGGCAAGGGAACAGGTGACGGTGACGGTGACTGGCCGAGGGCGGCGGCCCAGCCAGCGGCCCAGGGCGCCCTAAATCCGGGCTGGGACCCGAAGGTTCTGTCAGGACTCCCAGAGGAGGCGCCTGGGGTTGGGAGGGAAAGTGGAGAAAGCTGGGGTGCTGCCTTCCAAGGTGCCACCCTGGACCTCGGAGTACTCAAACAACGGGCAGGGTTCCTTTAAAGGTCATTGGGTTTGGGCATCCCAAACCTGGGAAAGCCGGAGGAGAGAGGGAAGGACGAACGGAGACAGACGCGCCAACAAAACGCAAACTACTAGCGCAGAAACAAGCGAGCGCAGGCAGTGACCCCGCGGGACAGTGGCGACCACTGCCCTAGCCAAGTCTCACAGACGCGCTTCTGAGGAACCCCGCAGGCACCAGAAGCAAAGCGCAAAGAATAAAAAATTTAAAAATTCTCCAGTTTGGAGGGTCCCCCCGCCCTTTGGGGCTCAATGCGAGGAACATCTGGATTTTGTACGTATTTTTCTGTTGTTGTTAAATTAACTTCTCCAGGAGAGAAGGGGGGTGGATGGGCAAGGGACGGGGAGGCTCCAGTCTTTTGGCAGAAACACGGCGGCCTAAGGCGGGGGCAACCACGACGACTGTGCAGTCACGAAGGACCACAGCCCCGCGCAAGCCCGTAGAATATGCCGGCCTCTCTACCCCAAGCGCAAAGCCGGGGACATCGACCCGCGGACAGAGCGACGCGCGCGCCGCAAACAAACAGCTCCAGGCAACCGGGCGGCCAAGCCGAACGTCGACCGAGCAACTGGCGGGCGCTGTCCCCGGGACTCGGGGCGCCCGCGCCTCCGCCCCGGTCCCGCTGCCCTGGCCCGCCCGCGCGCGGCTGCCCGCCCAGGGCACCTACCCGAAGTAGGCGGACGAAGGGCGCAGCGCGGCGAGCAGCAGCGTCAGCCCGAAGGCCGCAGCTAGCCAGCGCGCCAGCAGGGACCCATCCAGCATCTTGCCGCGCCGCGGCGGCTGACCATCGCGCTCCCAGCTCCGCGCAGGGCGCGCCGCGGCCGCCGCCCTCTTATAGCGCCCGCAGCAGCGGCCGCGCGCCGACCAGCTGGGCCGCGCCCGCCCCGCGCCCGGGAGGAGGGGTCACGCCGGCGCCGGGGGCGGGCCGAAATCCGAGCTGCGCGCCCCGCCCGCCGCAGCTCCAGGCCCGCAGCTCCCGGGGCGGGTCTGGGGCGCCCGCGGGTGAAAGGGGGGTGGGCGCCCAAGAGCTGTGGGACTGGAGGCGGGGGCAACCGGAGTGGGAGGACGTTGAGGAGCCAGAATCTGGGCGGCCGAAGGGACCTGCAGGAAGCTGGGGGCTCAGCGCCTGTGTAGAGTAGGAGCCCGTGCGAGTTATCTACAGTCGGTGCAAGACGGCCGGGGGTGGGGCGGGAGCGTTGGTGGAGCCTCCAGGAGGATTTGGGGCGGGGTGTTTACAGTCCGGTGCTAGAGTGCTCGGACAGGGAAAGGCGGAGCCGGGCGCGGCTGTGTAGGGAATTTGAGCGCCTGTGCCGTCGGAGTGGTGGCTGGGTTGGGGGAGGAGGCACATCGGCCGCTGCGTTGCAGCGCGGGAGCAGGAGTCCAGGACGTGCGGGGGTGTCGCGACAAGGACCCCTGCTGTCTGCTAGGAACTGGGGCTCTGGGGCTGCTCCTCGGGAAGGATGGTGAGAAGAGGAAACAAACCGGACCCCTCAAAGAGGGAAACTAAAGATGCGTGGGAGTTCTGTCTTCCCATCCCTGAACTGAGGAAGGATAGCTTGAGGCTGGAGTCACTAACAGCGCTGACCACCAAGCAACCTCGTCCCCAGAACCCAAATCCTCGCCATTCATTAAGGATGACAATGAAGGGGACTCCTTGCGATGAAGGTGCCCCTGTGTGGCTGGAAGCACAGAGCTGCCCAGTGACTCATCTCTGTGTATCCGCTTCTGGAGCAAGATGGTGTTGGGAAAGTCAAACCTGAATTAAAATAGAGCGATAACACAAATTACCATATTGACCAGAGCATCCAGGAAAATGCTTAGAAGCCCTCTGGGCAGTGGAACTTGGGCCACACAAGGTGCTAGAGAACAGGGATTGAGTTTCAGGCATGTAGAGACCAGTGATATGCTGGCCTTCCACGCTGGAGACCCACTTCAGAACAGGGACACCCCCCACTGGAGTCAAGCTGCCAGAGCTCAGTCAGTAAACGGCTGGTGAGCCTCCAAGACTGGGTCTGCAGGACAAGCTGGGCTCCCTGGAAGGCAGACGGACCTACTAACTAGCACTTTCTGAACTTGGAGGGTCTGATTCTGGCACAAAGACCTCCAGTCTGAAGGCTGCAGCACATCGGAAAGGCTGAGGTGTTAGGCTGTGAAAATTCTGCCACCTGTCGCAGGAAGGGCAGTCCCAGGCAAGGAAAAGGAGGAAATAGGAAGTTGCATCTCTCCAAGCAAGTCACTTTTTCCATGGTGTGTGGACCACCCAAGTGAGTATGTCCTGTCCTGCCAGAAGAGCGCACTGTGGGTGTGTGGCTGAGTGTGTGGTGGGACAGGGAGGAGACAGAGCCTGGGAAAATCACTTCCTCTCTGGGCCTTGGTTTCCCCATCTAAGACCCATCTAACTCCAGTGAGCAGTGGCTCTTTCCAAGTTGTGATATCACATTGTAACCCATGGTCTGCCTTCCTATTGGGTGTGAACAGCCTCATGTCATTCCCATTACTGGGACCCCTGCCCAGGTCCTCTTCTGCTCACACCTTGGTCAGCCACTTCATGGGGCTCCTGCAGTGAAAAGAGCACAGCGCAGCCTCCAAGACTTCCACCTGGAGGTCTGGATCCAGATCTGAGGAAGAGAGGCACTGGAGGGGCAACTGCAGGAGGCAGGGGACGGGAGACCCAGAGTGATGACATGTTTAAAGCATGAGGCTGCTTCCAAGAAAAATGATGTGTGAGATTGTAATGTGTGTCACAAGGCGCTGTGGGCAATACAAAGCTCTCTTCCAGAGAGAGTAGAGCTCTGTCACATCGGCCACCCAGTAAGTCCTGAGAAAAGAGGAAGGAGGCTCTGAACAGAGAGCTCTGGTCACAGCCCCAGACCCCTAGACCACGTTTGGTATGAGGACATACTAGTTTATGGGCTCAGGAAGAGTTCCTCTTTCTTTGAAGAAATCTATGTCATGTCATAGCAACTAGCCCTGAGTGACGCCACCAAATCCCCACTTGAAGCCCTGGCTCAGCTCCAAACAGTAACCTATCAAAAACCCTAGGGAACCAGGGCATGTGTTAGCAGGACCCATGTCCAACATAAGGAAATGCCAGAGCTATACCTGAAGGTCTGGGAGGGCCACCCTAGCACCCAAATCTCCATACTTAGGGATATGGTAGCAAATGTAGGTGATGCTACCAGTTGCTCCCATGCTAAGTAGACCTCAGGACACATACTCCTTCCCTGTGTCATGAATCTTCTAGGCCTCAGTTTTCTGTTTCACGTCTGGCTGCCCTCACCCCACTGTTGCCTGAATTATGCCTTCTCCAGGACAGTGGTAGCTTTCCTCAACAGCAGGGAGGTGGCTCTCCTCTGTCCCCCACAGGCTCTTGGGGTACCTATGGAGCCTGCACCCTAGTGACACACCAAGCCCCACCTGCCCTTCCCTGTTCACACTCATCCATAGAGTGCACAGTGGCCTACCTGCTCAAATTACTATCATTGGCCCAGTGCCAGCATGGGCAGAGGGAACCTGTTCTGCAGAGTTGTAGCCATACCTGTGTATTCATTCCCTGTGCCTCTGCTGAAGGAAAGTGCAAAGGTGACAAAAGCTGAGAGAAGTGGCCAGTGTGGATGGAACAGGAGAGAAAAGAGGTAGGAAACCACTGGATTCTTAGGTTTTTCTAATGCTGGACAGAATGCAGTGCCCATGAGGTCACTGAACAGGTGGAAGGTGAATTCCCGTGGAAGAGTTGTTGGCAAACACCAACTAGGCTGCCTCCCTGAATGACAAACTGAGCCCATAGGGTTTGGCAAAACTTACCTGACCAAGGCCATTACAGCAGGCCAAGGAGACAAACCTCCCTCCCTCCTTCCAGCTTTTTCCAGCCAAGCCACAGGGCAGATAAGCTCTTGGTCTTGCACATAGTTTGAAGAGGCCAACTTCCAGGACAGGCTGACTTTGTTCTATCTAGAATACTGTGTTGTGATCAATGGTCAAGTGGCTATCTTGTGGGGCTGTAGGGCTTCCCTGACTGGAAGGTTCATCATCCCCTACTGCAGCCACCCAGGCCTATGAAGCCATCCAAATAAAGTGGTGGGGGGTCTGGGCCAGATATTGCTAGGTTCACAATCAAGGAAGCAAAAGTCTATCTTGAATCATAAACAGCTTCTCAATTCATCCCCAGACTTCAGCCAGTTTACAGACCCAGAACCCCTGAATGAAGGCGATACTTGGCTCTCTTGAGAAAGGTAACTTCCCAAAATGTATACCATTAAGCCCTCCTCTCAGGGGTCTTTTGCCAGTGTAACTATTCATTGGGGAAAGAAAGAAGCAGGTTTTTTGGGTACCACTGGACTCCAGCTCAAACTAACATCAATTCCCAGACAGCTGCAATGTCACTATGGCCCTCCAGTAAGAGTACAGGCTTGGAGAGGAGGGAGTCGGGTGAGAGGGATAGGGTGACAAAGCAGTCTTAGCTCAAGTCTCTCTGCCCTGCACACCCAGTGTTCAGAGAAGAGGAACAAGAAATGCTTTCTAAGGGACAAGACAGGTCCAAAAGAGTGCTATCAGTGTTGGAGAGGGGGTGTATTCTCTGAAACAAATCCCCTCCAGGAAGGAAAAACAGAAAGGTAGCCAGCTGTGAGTGCTCCCCACATCTGAGTCTTTGCAAACCTCCAGCTCTATGAAGACCCTGCCCTATGAGTTTCTGGAATCCACACAACTCCAATGATCTGAGGTTGCTTATGGCAGGGGGGGGGCCACAGGAGACTTTGGGAGCCTTAGCAGATCAGCACATTGCATGAGCCCCTGCAGTAGCGAGGGTACTCCAGGGACACCAGGCCTGGCAAGGGCAACCTATCTCCTAGGTCAGGCCCACTCTGACGTCTCTTTCAGGTCTGGTCTGGATTTTGGATGCTTCAGGGCAGCAGTGGAGGCTATGTGGGGTGTGATGTGGCTCCAGGCTCCTGCTTCCCCAACTAGAGATCCCTCTCAAAAGCCAGAATACCCCCATCAGACAGAATGAACTTACATAGTTGGATTTGCTCCACTCATGACAAGCAAAGGCTCAGTTCCCCGGGCCCTTCAGAAAAGAAGCAGGATGCTCACAATGCTCCTTCCCCAAGGCTTCTCTTGTAGGTCTCATCTCAGTGTCTGATGGAGACCCCACTGTACACAACAACCAGGATCAGCGGTGACTCCTACCCCTCCTCCTTCCTGTCAGCCCAGTTATGTGACTGCTTCAGGTCCCTGCTTCCTGGGCCAGAGGCAGAGAGAGGGAGAGGGAGAATGAATGAGAAGTGGAAATGAATGAGAGAGCAACAGAATGAGAGAGACAAAAAGAATGAATAAGAATCAGAGGGAAATAGAGTGAGAGACAGACTGAGAAGACGAAGATACCGAGAGACAGAATGAGTGAGAGGAAGAGACTGCATGAGAGGAGCAGAGACAGAATGAATGAGAGAAAAAGAATGTGCAAAAAAAGAGACAGAAAGGGAGAAAGAAAATGAATGAATGATAGAGAGTAAGTGTGAGAAAGAGGGAGGTTGTCCAAGACTGAGCGAGATCCAGTCAGAGATGGATGAGAAAAGGCCTCTCTGGGGCTGGGAGGACAGAAGACAGGAGCACACCTCCCCACAGCTGACACCCACTCACTTTTGCCCCTCTGGGTCTTGATTTCCCAGCACATAGGGTGTGTGTGTGCAACTGGGGTCCAGAAGGCTCAGCAGTCCCTGCTCGGGGTACCAGGTGGCTGCTGGGTGCAGCATGGGGAAGGGGAAGCTGATTTCAGGTGGTCTGGGAGGTGTGGGATGAGGGGCCACTTATCAAGAAATACTGTCTAATTGAGATG